CAGTGTGATGAGTAGTCTCCCAGAAGCACATGTGCGAAGATCATGCTTCATTTTGCTGTGAGCAGTGCAGGTCTTCTTTGAAAAACTATACTCACACTTAGATAGACTTCTAAAGAAACAAGAAAGAAACTGATGGTCCAACCTGCACCCTTTTCAGTTCTGGAACCCACTTTTTATACACATATTGTGGACATTCCATTGTCCGATAAAGGTGGACCTATGATTTCTATATGGAATTGTTTGGGCAGTCAGGGAAGAGTCAGGTCAGCTCTGCATTCATTTAACAAAACTTTAAAAACACTAAAAAGTAGCTTGACGTAGCCTGTGGCGATTCGCTGCACTCGAAATTGAGGTAAACAAGTACTCCACGATAGAATTGTCAAGAAATCGGTCGAAGAAGGGAAGACTTACCTAGTAGAAAGGGGGAGGCGGACCGCCAAGGGTGTTGAATGATCCGATTTGGTTTTGAAACGAATACTGCCTCAATGGCCGGGCAGGGCTGGCGCAAAGGCAAACCCAACCTATCTGACTCTAGCCGTTTGGCAGAGAGCGTTAATGAGAGTCGCATCAATGCGGAAATCAGCGGGCACGGAAGGGTTTCTAGGATCCTGGACCGATTCTCATGGTTTTCCGTCATCTCAGCATACTGACCACGTTTGCCTTATTCTGATAGTCTGCCTTTGTAATCATAAACTCCGCCCTTAAAGGCAAACCCCGGGATTAGCCCGACTAGTAGGAGGATACCACGAGGGAAATTGTAAGGTCCGTACCTACCTAGATCACTCCAGCTTCGTCGCAAAAATTGCGCGGTTAGGGCGCTAATCCTTACGGGCCTCCAACCATCGACGCTTCCCACCGCGAGATGTGGTGAGATCAGCGTGCATTGATGTAGAGATCAGCGTGCTCTCTCAAACGACGTGCTCTCTCGCGTATTTTGTCTTCTTTGACCGCCCTTTCTCGCCATCGTACCACATCCGACCCTGTTGAAGGTTAAGGCCTTAATTTCAGCGTTCCAAAGATTTCTCTTGCTTTCCTTTCCACTTTCAGGTCGTTCCGCAGCTAAGCTATCACTACAGAGCGCTAGCACCAGTTCAATCCCTGGAGTTTGCCTTTAAGCTAAAACGGACCCTGGTTATCGGAATATTTTGTGTGCCTTTCGAGTTGAATTTACAAGTAGTCACGAAATCTCGCTACCTTTTTCGAAGCCTATTGAGAACTTATGGCGGCCCAAAACACCCCAAACGCTTAATTTCCAAAGCCACTAAAGATTTGATCTTTTCATGTTTCCGCTTGATTTATTCATTGTGACGCCATTTGACACATTTGTATAGCAGACGCTTTTCTTCAGTCATCAACACAAACTGGGAGCGATGACGTGAGTGAAGAAACGCAAACGGAGGAATCACTGAACGAGATCAAATGGACTCAACATCCACCACATGTACAACAACTTTTACTCTTTCCGAGGCGCGATTGAAAGCAAACGGTTCTTTCAGGACGACTACGGATGGGGGTTAGAAAGTACTGCTCATGAGGATGCAGACTTGAAAGAAAATGAAGAGATGGCCATGTTTCGCGAAAATCATCTGCAAAATCCTCGCTTGAAGCAATTCGTAGAAGCAGCTGGACAAGTGAGTTATTTTTGTGTTTTCTGCTTTTAACAGCTCGTCTCTCTTCGAAATCGCACTATCAAAGGACTTCTCTTATGATACATTTTGCCAAAAAGCGGCACATGGCGATTCGTGCCGGCTTTTTTCCTGCCATCGATGTCAACAGAGGACAATTCAAGGATGAGTTTCAGCAAAGTGAATGCCTCAGATTTTATGTCTTCGAATACATAAACAGTAGGGGGGAAGTGGTGTAGTGGCAAGTGGCACGCTTACCACGCGAGCGGTCCGGGGATCAAATCCTGGGTCGTGAGTCGCCCGGGCCAACCAAGCCTTCCATCCCTCCGGGGTCGGTTAATTGGTACCAGACTTGTCTGGGAGGATAAAAACACTGACTTGTACATCGGCTGGCCCCGCAAGTCATTGTATAGGCCACATCGCATTCAAACGCCACTACGAATGTACAAATGGAAGTAGAATGCGTGCCGCATCCCAAAAAGGGATTGATCAACGGCAAATGCTTTATCCTTTTATCCTTTTAATTGTCATTGCATTCCTCTCCTTATTTTATTGAAATTATTTTGCAAGTACACATTTGAATGAACATCTCTTACCCCGGTGGAGATTTGCGTCACATGTTTGCGTAGTTTGTTATGCGTTTTACTCGCTACCACTGTTTCTCTTTTATTTTTGTCTCTTTTATCACATGAGATACCTTATGTGACGAATTGTGATTGCGAATGTTTTTTTACTTTTGTGGTGGACAAGTTTGGTCAAATATAAGCGAGCGGGAACTGCGTTACAAGCTGTTTGTTCAGGTTGTGATCGAACTCATCGCATCCCGTCGGAAAACTGCATCCGATCTTCTGCTCCAGAATAAAAGCGTGTTCTCCTTCAGCTTGGGCTACAACTCATTCGAACTCGGTCCTATATCACAAGGTTAGTCACTTCTTATGTTTTTTCCTTTGAAACCTTGATTTTGACACTGGCGTGCCTTCAGGTGGCTTCATACATTTTCAACTGTTTTTATTGACCTAATTGTTCACTCCTAGAATTTGACCGGTATACTCTTGATAGGCTCTGAAAAATTTCCTCGTGCGTTAACCCGGCGCTCACTGATGCTGGGAAGCGCGTATGGATATCTTAAAAAATGGGCGTTGTATTGCGCCTCTGTCGGTTCTTATCACCGTTATCACTTTCTATCCCCCTTCAAATATGTTCCCATCCCGCCCCTACAACATACTTAAAATATTGCGCTCCACTGTTGCAGCGAAGAGCGCTATGAATTTCGTGACAAACAGACGTACACACATACACACGCACATATACTTAGCGAAGAACCCTACCTTGACCAACACCCTCATTTCAAAAAATAACATATTGTAAAACCACGGAACATTCGAAAATCCATTCTTCTGCGCACTTCACTGATCCACCCAGTGTGAAGCTCCTCTCCACCCTACCCTCACTCTCCTGGTCCTAGGCGAAAATACGCGGCTCTTGTCTGGACCGCTTCTTCTCACGATTCCAGGCTGATTTAGTCGCGTCCTTATCTAAAGGCTCCTCAGAAGGAAGTGTTATTAGAGCTCTTTCCTTCAGTAATTAGCGGCGTATCGCAGATCTTTATCGTCAGAGTCGCCAAAGCAGAATTGGAGGTGGCCGTCCTCAACTTCATCTTCACTGCCATATTTACATTACAGACTGTCACGAGTTAAAACAAAAAAAAAACAAAAAAGACAGAGCAGTAGTGCGCGATTATTCTCTGAATTACTTCACGTTATTGTGATAGGTGCCTCCTCTTCTTGCCCCCACAAATTTCAACACCTCCATTTGTTCTGGACTAAATCAGGCAGCAGGTCCTCTACCCTCACCGCATTACGTTCTCCTACTTAGATATTCCGATATTTATACCCTTCTTCATGAAAGCAGCATGATCATCATCCGAAGCCTGGGGAAGCGATTCCACATAATTCTGCTTCTCACTGCTTTTACCGGAACTTTACCATTGCTCTGTAAATCACTCTTCGATTCCGGTTTCCAGGCGATCTTCCTAAGCCCTACAATCCCTTAGTATGTATTTCCATACATGATTACTTCTATGGAATTGTTGTGCGTTTTCAGTTGTATATAACTTCTTCCTCTTTTTCCTCTCACATCGGCGTTTACCTTCTCCTGAAAGTTCTGTATGATGGAATGGGATGATTGTGTTTCAGCAAATCGCGTCACTACTATCAGCCTCAACGCAAAAGAGCCCGACATCCTACTAGCGGGATTCTTCGTCAAAGAATCGCCTGCTGACGACATCGTCAATCGAACTCTCCTCGTGGAATTTTTTCTGGACAACAGTCAGCCTCCAAAAAGGTTCTTCGAAATTAGCATCACTTATTCTCCAGCTTCTCTCTTCTTGCATCTCGACACGATAGTTGCAAGTGTATTTTGATGGTTTTATGCAGGTTGTTTGGTAGAACGTCATTCAAATTGCTTAACTTTTCGACTGAATCGTCGTCTTCAGAGGCCGATGGTTACACCTCTCGAGAGAGCTCATCCGCTGCCATACAATAGCGCTAGAGTTGTGAAGTTTTAGTCAGGAGACGACGATCCAGTCGAAACGCAGGGATAATTGAATAAACGTTTCACCAAATGGCCAACAAACATCAAAATACACTTACAAGCATTGCTAATGTTCCAAAAGAATGCTGATTTACGGGCAAAACCTTAGCCCCAGACTCTAGTCGAGCCCCATATCTTGCTTAACGGGCCTTTGTGCTACCATTACACTACAGAGGTATGATTCCACGCTTGCATAGCTTTTGATGGCATTGTCATAGCATTACCTAACTCAGCATTCTTGTGAGACATTCGCAACGCAGAGGGTGACGTTAAAACAGCAGTTAACTAACAAAACGTATCATTAATACCGCCGAAAACTCTAATTGTGAATTTGCAGGCTTTTCTTGTCAGAGGGAGATGTTACCTCTACGTGCTACACACCAGATGGAACAGCCTTAGTTGCTGGTGTGGTACGTTTTTATCAGGCATATGTAACCCCTCCTTCAAAAAGCGAGAAAGTGTCGGGTGCAGACCAAACACCACAACTGACGACGGCCTCCAAGTAAATCTGGTTAGAAGTTGTTCATAGTGATAGCTGATTTCTGGTTTCTGGTAAATGATAGCAGTAATTAGTGATAATGATATAATGATAGGATAATAATGATAATTTCTGGTAGTTGTACTTAGTGACAATCGATAGAATACAACTGCAACAGGCTAATAAGTTCATTGGCAAAAACATTAACCCTTTGTGGGAGGCCTTCGTCAATTGTGGTGCATGACCTGCATCCGACAGTTTCTCGCTTCATGAAGGGGAGGGTACACACATGTATACATACAGTACCGTCAAAAAAGAAATTACCGCAGCCGTTTTGCTATAATTCATGTCGAGTTTGATATTTTTGGTTGACTTTCGACAACATCTTTCTTTTCATGCCCATGAGAGGCGTCCGACGCAGGAGATCAATTCCTGCCAATGAGACGGTTTTTTATGAAGATTAGAAAGTGGCAAATTTTCAGGTTAGATTCATCAATCCCTTTTTCGGTCTGGAATTGTTTCCTAATTGTTCTTCATGTTTTTATAATAGTGGGAAGTTCCCATTTTCACTTCGTGTTAATACGGTATGAATTTGTTGAGATATTAAAACAAGCCAAATTTTGTTATGTTTGGAATAGTGTGTAAAAATGAACACTGGTCCGATCTAAGACTTTTTGGAAAGCCTTTGCATTGAAAATATTTTGTACTAGTAAAATGTCAAAAAATCAGTCAAACATATCAAGTTTGGCATGAGTTATGACAAAAAACGTCTGCGATGATTTCTTCTTTGACGGTACTGCACATTGAAATCTGATAGCAGTTCAATAAAGCTGATGTATGGTGCATATTCAGGTCGATGGTTCCGTGGAAGCGTTTGATTTGTTAGAGCCATCAAGTTCTTTTTCGTCGTCCATGCCATGGATAGGTCAGTTCTCTAGGAAGGCCCTTAAAGGCTGGCTTCGGGTTAAACTGGGTGCGAGAGCGTTCAATAATGAAGTCGGGGTGGGACTGATCTGGAAAAGAAAGGGAAAGCGAAAGAATCCCCGATTACGCCCGAACAAGGCCCCCTCTCCTTATTTATCCTATTCACGTGGAGGGAGAGGTTGGCGATAGCGAGTGATATCAGGTTGATCACGGGTTGTAGTGGCGATGAATAAGGAGTGTTGGACGCATTTGTAACGATGTGATTTCATAGGGCGTAACATAAAGGAATTTGCTTACTTATGCGGAGATTCAAAAATGTGCTATAGCGACAGCGGGCAAGTTGAGCTCCGGTGAATTTAATTATTTTATTCAGGTGGAGAGAGAGGCATTCTTGCGCTTTTGAGCTCTTTCGATTAAGTTTTGAAAGGTGGGCCCCTAACTTTCAGACAGTCCAGTCGATATTGCCCTCCGAGCACCAGCCTACGATTCATCATTTCTCAGTTCGACGCTAGCTGATGGAAAAGCGCACCCCGTTGTCGACGTGCAGGTGGTGGAGAACGAGAAAGAGTAAGTTACCAGCTACACAATACGTCGCTGCAGTGCATGGCTCCATGCTATTCTGCCTTATTTCATACCCAGTCAGAATATCTAGTGACTCTCAGTCACAACTCACGTCCATCTTAACAGACACAGAGGGGGTAGGTGATACGTGGCACGTGGTGCTACATACCACGAGCATGGTCCAAAGTGAAATCCAGGGGAAAATCCTCCCCAGACCGACCGCAATCCGTCGCCTAGGGAGTGGTGGATTGTTACTGAACTCGTCCGAGAATCTAAGAGGGGGAACACTGATTTCTATTCCGGCTAGCTCCCGCACATAAGCAGGGTCAACCGTCACGTTCGAACATTTTCGGGATTTTTGCGACCCCCTAGCTCTCGAGGGGGTCCAGTTGCGACCCCCTGTTTTTGTTAATAAGAGTGCTAGACATGAATCCGTTGCGCCAGAAAGCGTCTGCGCCGCCGCGCAGAAAGCGTCTGCATTGCGGCGTCAGCCTTGGAGCCGGGCGCTGGAAGAACGGGACGCGGCG